ATTTAATTTATTTTAGATGTAGATTATATACTACGTATAACTTGAATTATACACCAACAACTTTGGGGGTACAAAGTTGAAGAGAAATTATATCTGGGGGTACGCGAACAAAAAAGGTTGAATACCACTGTTCTAGACCAGTGGTATCAACCTGGGGTACCCGTACCCCCGGGGGTACGCGAAGACATCTTAAGGGGTACGTGAAATTTAAAAAATATATATTATTTAATGATAAACACTGAATAATCAGTAATGTAATTTTTTAATTTATTTTAGATGTAGATTATATAATATGTATAACTTGAATTATACACCAACAACTTTAGGGGTACAAACTTGAAGAGAAATTACATCTGGGGGTACGCGAACAAAAAAAGTTGAATACTGCTGGTCTAATAGATCAAAGTCAACGAAAGTTGGGACCCGCAGATGCTCAAGGCACTGCAGAACGGGTCGCCTAAGTATCCTAAGTAAGACTTTCTTATAAATCCATTTTAACATTTCTCCTATGAATCTCTACTAGGTCACCCAGTGGTGTCTAACCTTGAGGTTTTCCCATTGTTTTTTATTTCCATCACGCAAGTGTTCGTTTTTACCTTAATAGCTCGCAAAGAAATTAGAAGTATAATTATAACAATTAACACTTTTGGAAAATCCCTGAAGTCTTACGTTGTTCGGTACATGTAACATTCATCAGACTGTGAAACTGTTTATTTCAGGTACAAAATTGGATTATTTAACTGAACAGCAAGTAAATTTTAAGGTGATTCTCCAAAATTGTACTACACAGTGAGTGAAATCGTTACCACTGATAAGACTCAAAGTAGAATTTAGGGGCCGGAAGAGACGATTAGCGTAATCCATGAAAGGAACATGATGATGAGGTACTTGAAAATAAACGTGTTTTAAACCACACATGAAAAAAATCTTACCAGCTGACATAAATATGAACAGAAATTGGCCACTTGACTTACTCATAAAACGTTTTTAACAAGTAAAGACAGTTGAAAATTTGTTCTGTCTTCTGGGTTGTTGCGCCGTGTAGTCTGGTCGATGTTCACCAACGTTTCAGAGGTCATACTGCCTCCGTCGTCAGAGTATGAAGATTTCTGTCTTCTGGGTTGTTGCGCCGTGTAGTCTGGTCGATGTTCACCAACGTTTCAGAGGTCATACTGCCTCCGTCGTCAGAGTATGAAGATTTCTGTCTTCTGGGTTGTTGCGCCGTGTAGTCTGGTCGATGTTCACCAACGTTTCAGAGGTCATACTGCCTCCGTCGTCAGAGTATGAAGATTTCTGTCTTCTGGGTTGTTGCGCCGTGTAGTCTGGTCGATGTTCACCAACGTTTCAGAGGTCATACTGCCTCCGTCGTCAGAGTATGAAGATTTCTGTCTTCTGGGTTGTTGCGCCGTGTAGTCTGGTCGATGTTCACCAACGTTTCAGAGGTCATACTGCCTCCGTCGTCAGAGTATGAAGATTTCTGTCTTCTGGGTTGTTGCGCCGTGTAGTCTGGTCGATGTTCACCAACGTTTCAGAGGTCATACTGCCTCCGTCGTCAGAGTATGAAGATTTCTGTCTTCTGGGTTGTTGCGCCGTGTAGTCTGGTCGATGTTCACCAACGTTTCAGAGGTCATACTGCCTCCGTCGTCAGAGTATGAAGATTTCTGTCTTCTGGGTTGTTGCGCCGTGTAGTCTGGTCGATGTTCACCAACGTTTCAGAGGTCATACTGCCTCCGTCGTCAGAGTATGAAGATTTCTGTCTTCTGGGTTGTTGCGCCGTGTAGTCTGGTCGATGTTCACCAACGTTTCAGAGGTCATACTGCCTCCGTCGTCAGAGTATGAAGATTTCTGTCTTCTGGGTTGTTGCGCCGTGTAGTCTGGTCGATGTTCACCAACGTTTCAGAGGTCATACTGCCTCCGTCGTCAGAGTATGAAGATTTCTGTCTTCTGGGTTGTTGCGCCGTGTAGTCTGGTCGATGTTCACCAACGTTTCAGAGGTCATACTGCCTCCGTCGTCAGAGTATGAAGATTTCTGTCTTCTGGGTTGTTGCGCCGTGTAGTCTGGTCGATGTTCACCAACGTTTCAGAGGTCATACTGCCTCCGTCGTCAGAGTATGAAGATTTCTGTCTTCTGGGTTGTTGCGCCGTGTAGTCTGGTCGATGTTCACCAACGTTTCAGAGGTCATACTGCCTCCGTCGTCAGAGTATGAAGATTTCTGTCTTCTGGGTTGTTGCGCCGTGTAGTCTGGTCGATGTTCACCAACGTTTCAGAGGTCATACTGCCTCCGTCGTCAGAGTATGAAGATTTCTGTCTTCTGGGTTGTTGCGCCGTGTAGTCTGGTCGATGTTCACCAACGTTTCAGAGGTCATACTGCCTCCGTCGTCAGAGTATGAAGATTTCTGTCTTCTGGGTTGTTGCGCCGTGTAGTCTGGTCGATGTTCACCAACGTTTCAGAGGTCATACTGCCTCCGTCGTCAGAGTATGAAGATTTCTGTCTTCTGGGTTGTTGCGCCGTGTAGTCTGGTCGATGTTCACCAACGTTTCAGAGGTCATACTGCCTCCGTCGTCAGAGTATGAAGATTTCTGTCTTCTGGGTTGTTGCGCTGTGTAATTACACAGCGCAACAACCCAGAAGATAAAAATCTTCATACTCACAGCTGTGAAAACATAAAATCATATAAAGACATAGTTGAAGGTCACTGTCGCAAAAACATTTTACGTGGTGTTTGAACAAAAAAGTAGAGGGGGAATCGAAGGCTTATGAAGACGACGAAAGATTTTCTTGAATTATGGTGAAAGTCTTGCATTCTGCAGAAACCCAAAGAGATTTGAACGCCGGGATATCCAATCCCCATTAAGAATATTAAAATTAATCAAAACGTATTTCACTATTATTAACTGTAAATTATTCTTGAAATAAGTAATACAAAATAAAGGCATACATTATGGAACTATAACACATTTTATTAGTCAACTATAAATGGAACAACACTGATAAGTCTGTTCCTTTACATAGTGTCAGCTGTTCTGATTCTTTGACGTATTTTGCTGATTATTATTACCTTTAGCCTGACGTATGTTTAGCACTAAAGTTTAATAAAATTAAAATTTCCGCTTATGGAAATAAAATACTGTATATCCCATATGGCTACTGTAATTGTCTTTGGGGGCATACTTGTGTCTCTCAAACTAGCGGTATAAATGCCAGTCATATCTGCATTATACCCACCAGATTGCAGCTGGTCTGATGTAGAAAACCCGTGTAAGAAACGTAGACATCTTGTTAGCCAGCTGATTCAACTATCCAGCGTTGCCAACGTAAATAATAACCACACGTCATTCGCACGTGTTCGCTGTTGCATTCTCACTTCACAGCAAAGTCTTATTTAGTATTTGGCTGCAATGAACTTTGTTCAAACACACAGTACGCTTTGTTCCTTGCAGTCCACACATACACACACAATAGAAATTCAGTACATTACGTTGGTCTGATATTATTTTTAGTTCTTATATTGGCATAAACCTTTTTTATATTCAAATTTTTCGCCCACGTCACACTCTGATTTGTCAAAGGCACGCAACTGCACAGCACAAAATGTTGTCTCACGAAAGTATTATACGAAATGGCCATAAATTTTTATCTG